TGTAGAGATTTTTATAGGTAAGTGGGCACAGTGTCACTGAGCTGATGAGTATGGCTGAGAGGGATTGTATATGACAATTACAAGTATTCTGAATTCTTACTGGATCATTTAAAAAAAAATCAGAAATGAGCAATTAAACTGCTTCCGCAGCTTTTTATTTATCATGGCTGTTATTTTCTTGATATGTTCTGGAGTGAGTCACACAAAAAATAATAATCTGGCAGACACTTTCATGGGCAAAAGACATTTTTTGTCTCATTCAGTAGTGAAAAGAACTAATAAATCTGATATTCCTGATACCTGATTAAAAAAATTCAGGCCGTCAGTTAGGCTACTTATTGAAAGGTCAGTTAGATCATCTGTGAATGATGAAAGATAAGTTAGTCTAGCATGCACCAAACTGAATGTCTTCTACTGAATAGGTGCAGAAGAAATTTGAGCTGTTGTCGTATGTCCATGGAAGCATACCATAGTATTGATATAAAGCTCCACGTAGCACCTGAATAAGTAGTTGGGGTGAAACTCTCCAGCAGAACTCCTATTGGAGCTGGTGAAAGCCTGTTCAGCCAAAGCATTTGACTTTGCCAAATATATTTACAGTCAGAAGTGGGAGCTTGTTGAAAACAAGCGGATACACAGATTGATGCAAATAGGGCAGCAGAAGTGGGGAGGTAGTTTATACTAAAGGTTTATGAGCTTGTCTGCTTTCATAGAGTGCAGATGCTGAGTTATTTCCTTTGTTTTCCTCAGACACAGGTCATGTACTGATGCAAATCTAGATGTAAGAGTCTTGCTTGCTCGTAGATATTTTTAACGAGGTGTATTTATGGAACTCAAGGAAACTGAAATATTTTACATTTTAATCCCAGCAAATAAAATATCTGAGGCAAATTATTCTCAGCTGAGATGCAATTGATTATACTGTTAAAAATAAATAATTTACTACACTAGGTTTTGGGAACTCAATTCACTGGAGGGTTGTGTTATAGGATGAGAAAATACTAATGGATGAATACTCAAAAATGTTTTTTGAGAAGTTATAACCATAAACATTGTGTTAAGGGTAAGAAATAAATTTAGAGGTAACATTGTGGGAACAACACGAGGGATGTTAGTGTTTACAAGTAGTCCTTCACTGAGAAATAAAATACAAGAGTGGACACCAGCTGCAGCATCAGTGGGTTACCAAATAGAAAGGTCCAAAAAAATCCAATTACAATATTTAGGGTTAGAGAAAATGATAAACCGTTATCCCTGTCATTTTCTCGGAAATGGCAATTATCTTCTTCAGTTTTGAATCTTCTAATGAGCTACAAACTATTCATACCCGTTTGTATGTGTTCTTTGTTTTATTTCTTTTCTGATTGGACTTTGCATCTAGATTTTATAAAGGGAAGAAAACTTGACAGAAATACATTAAAACACTAAAAGGATACACTTTGCTCATTAAATTCATACATATAACATGCAAACAGAGCATTTTTTAGTTCATTCAAGTGTTTCTAATTTTATAATCTCTGGAATCAAATTCAGTCATGGTTATGAGTTTGCTATCATGATTGGTAGCTGTACCTAAACCAGACATACATTATGCAAGAGATCATTACTGGAAGTATTTAATTCATGTCCTATATTTCCCAGCTACTAAAGCACTGGGATTCATTGGAGTGAAATGAAACTGAAACAGAGTATAGGCCTCAAGCCAGGAAAAATAAAAATTAAGAAAAAGCACTGTATGGCTGCGAGCCAGTGCATGCTCCATCACTCAGTTGTCAGCCTCCTCCCATGGCAGTGGCCAAAGAACATTTTAAATTATGGTCTCTGGGTTTAGAATCTAAAGCTTGTGCTGTATAATACATCTGGCATAGCTCAGCTCTTCCCTTTGCCATGATGCACAGTGAGGAGGATGTAGCCTCTGTGAGCTCCTGCTCTCTGAGCTTCTCCTCGGGAGCCAGGGTGCAGCTACTGCAGGGCCGGTCGTGCGGGATGACCTGAGCATCCTTCTGAGGTCCTCCACTATAGTCTGGCTGGGAGTGCTACAAAACTCAGGTGTGAGTTCATGTCAGCATTTTCTTCAACATCTTGATGGTCTACACTGTATTGCAAAAAGAGGAAATAAAAGTTGAATTTTGTAGAAATCGAGTCGGTCACTTGCCTAACTGGGTTGGATGGGACTTCTAAATAGTGTATGGTTACTGCCTGTAGAAACAGTTTCTCTCTGCTTCTTTTTTTGTGAACTTTTTGACAATGTCACAAAGTTTCTTTCATTCCTTCCAAAGTAAACCAAATAGTAATGTTTTCTCTCTCTTATTTTAATATTTTCTGTCTCTTATTTCAGCCTTTTGGAAGACGCAGTCCTATTATTATTACTCATGTTATCCTTGATTTATATAGCCTGTATCACAAGATCTAATTCACTGCTGCTAAATCAAGGCTGGTTTACATACTTGCAAAACACCATAGTTTCTTGCAAAGAGTTTTATGGCCCAATACTAGCATGCTCAGGCTGCTCAAAAGATCAGGTATTAAAAATACCTGAAAAGCATGTCTGGAGTCAAGTGTGCTTTTGACAAGCATCAGGTAAAACAACAAAGCTTTTTGGAGGAAAAAAGCAGAGGAATGACAATTGAAAGGATATTTTATCTGCTCTTCAGGACATTCAAAGTGTTTTATTTTTTACACTTCCTGGTATGTAAATGCCATTGTTGTACTACATTCAAAAAAAGAAATTTAAAAAGAGTAGCTTATGCTCAAAGAATGGGAAAACATCAGTTAGGTCAAAAAAAAGGATAACTTTTGAAGAAGAAAACTTGTCAATTGGGCACATGCTATCTGTAGCTTACCTGACTGCATATACATAGATATTAAGAAAAAAATCATGTTTCACTTGTGCTTGGAAGGTGGTAAGTTTTGGGGTTGGTTTTGGTTGAGTTTTTTTTCCCTCTACACCATGTGCAGGTTTTATTTCTTTTACAAACATTTGCTTTTGAATCTGTATGTAACAAATACAAGTTTGTAGGTATCTCCTTATATAACTATACATTTTTATACTCCAGTTTTGAATATGCAATATACCAAAAATATCAAGTGACTCTTTTTATGAAGTACTTAAGAGGTTTTAGTGCATCCCTTAGCTCAGGGTGAAGTAAATGTCTGTGTTTGAAGCAAAAGGCTGTAAATAAAAAATGCACTTTGAGGATCAGAAATCTGTGTAGGTTCCTAAACTTACTTATGTCATAAGTTGAATGATTCAGGTTTATGTCAGTGGGCAGGCTACAGCTGTTGTTCTCGAGCTGGCATTTTCTCAGGCTGCCAGAAAGCATCTGCATCACTGGGCATGTTCTGTATATTAGAGCGAGAAGAACAAGAGCTGCAGGACCTTTACTCTCTGCAGCCGATCAGAAAGGACAGCTGATTGTGGTCAGGAGCAGAGCGTCTCTCTGCAGCTCCTCTAGCCCTTCCCTCCTCTGAAACCTCACAAGAAATTAGCAGGAGTAAGGACGGTCTGGGTTGAAAGCGGAGCCCGTTGCTAGAAATGGGGTTAAAGGTACCACAGTAGTAGACTAAGTGGCTCAGCTGGGATCCAGGAAGAACAGAGGTCTGTATGGAAGTTCTCAGCCTCCAGGAACTGGGCACACAGGTATTTGTGTCTCTCACGAGTTGAGGCTTTTTTTTTTTTTTTTCCCATTTCTTTTGATTATGAAAGCCTGGTGGGTTTTGGGGTTTTTTTGCCTTTAGCTAAAGACAAGAGAAAATATTTATAAGCTTTTTATAAACTTGGAACAAAAAGTTTTGCAGTTATTGACAGATCAGCAATTATAAGATTATGATCTTGTAATTGGCAGATAAATAGGAATAGCTGAAGGAGTAACATATTTTAATTTATAACTATTTGTGCTTTGCAGTGACTTTCAAATAATTAGGTAGGTATGTTATTTGTTCCTTTTTACAGGAAAATCTTTATATAGACCAAATCACTAAGAATTTTGGCAGAGGGTTCAATAGGAAATGCCGTTTGAAAAAAATGTTTTAAGGTTGAGTGTATGAAGCTGCAGTTTAGAGATCTATCTGCTTGCATATTTTCCTCTCAGGGAATGTATGCCAGAACTCAGAGTAATAATGATTTTCTATATTTTTCTTGTGTTAGAATTTCAGAGAAGGAAGAAACAGTTATTTATAGATTTTTTTTTTCCATGGTTATAACCGTGATCCATACTCCAGGTCAAAAGAAATTGAGATAAACTATACTGGGAAATGTTTATTAATCATGTTGGATTAGATTTGTAAGTATGCATTTAGTAGTGGAACACGATACACCAGTTAATGGCTAAATAATACTATACCTTGTTTTGTCCTAAACTTAAATTAAAAGTGGCAAATAAAAGGGTTTTAACTTTCTTTTTTTGACATTTGCAATGTTAGCTGAGACGTTGTATTACTAATGACGCTTTTCAGTATGGAAATAAAATATGTACCCTCATTTCGTATCATATATTTTTCATACTTGAGTGCTATCAGAAATAAATAACACAAAAGATTTTATCACATTTATATGATCATTCAGTACAGCTGCACTTTATTCTGGTTACACTTGAACCAAACATTGCTGAGAAATTGTGAACCAAATTTTTCTGGTTTAATAAGTAGGTGGGAAACTGCTACGAGGTCATGGGGACCATAATGCCTAATAATGTATTACTTAGGTATATATGTAGGTCGTTATGTAATAACAATATGCTCCAGGTTTGTGCAGGAAAAACTTGGCACCTATGTCTGTAATACTATATGGATTTCCTGAACTGTACAGATTTAGCCAGTTGGTTGTCATTCACTTTTTTCAACCTTAATGAGCACCAGTACTAAATGTTATACCAACCACATGCATTAACCAGAAAGCTCTTTGTGCTTCTGTCATCCATCGTGACTCTACTAGTGATTCATTGCTTCCGTCAAAGTAATATATTTTTAAATCATGCTTTCATTTGTCTTTCCCTTGACAGGAGGCATTGTTGATAAGGACCTTCGTCACTACCTCAATTTACGGTTCCAGAAAGGTTCGGTAGACCATGAGCTCCAGCAGATCATAAGAGACAATCTCTACCTCCGCACGGTCCCATGTGAGTAGAGTCGAGATGAACAAATCTGTTTTCTTAATGGCAACAGACTGTCTCAATTATTGCTGCTGAGGCATTTGCAAGGTGTGAAGAGGTGGATTGTAGATGAAGCAGTCTTCCTGTAAATATGTTAGTGGCTTTGTTCATGTCTTCCGTGATATTGCTGAGAAACAGAACTGTATAATGCTGAATCAATTTCTGAAAATGTCTGGTGTTTTAAAAAACTGTAATTGTAGAATAATAATATTTTTATTCTGTAGTTTTATAATCACAAACTTAAAGAGAAAAACCTGTTTCTAGGCTGGTTAAACCGATGCCCAAGAAAGAGTTTGATCTGCTTTGTATTTCACAGTATTACACGTTATATAATAATACCATGGGGTTTAGAATGCAATGGGGCAACAGAGGAAACATGCAAACTAGGAAATTTTGTTGTTTAGCTACAGCAGAAATGACAATGCAAGTTCATATTGTATTTTATACATTTTCTTTTTTTGTTTGTTTCGTAAGTCAATGGTATCTATATCTGAAATATTCCAAAACCTCTAAAATCATTTTGTTGCTATTGACATTATTTATCTATTTCTTTGGTACACGTGGGGTTAAGCAGAGTAACAAGAACCATGTTTGACTGTCAGGGCTGTACCTCTCAGAACAGATTTACTTGAATGACAGACAATATATCATTTAAAATGGACTGAAGTTCCATTATTCTTCCCTTATAAAGTAATTGCTTAGTAGACAAAAAATGCTCCTTCTGATTTTGGCAAAAAAAGGGTGCACATTTGAACTTGTAGACTGGACACTGGAAGAGGAAAGCATATTGAGTAAATGACTGTGCTATTTATATGGTAATGGGTGGACGCTTCTTGAAAACTCTGTTGTGAATGCTTCCGCATGCCATTAAAAAATGGAGATTTGGAAAGCTCCACCATAGAAAGACGCTCAAGCATTTCACTTTTGTTTTGGAAGCAGAAGATAAAGAAATAGTCTTAATTTCAGGAATTCTATTTGGTTAGAAAGGAAGGTGGAGTAAAACATTGCAAAATGACCGCCTCTATGCAGAAAATCAAAACCACTGCATTTTTGTGAGATTTATGATTAATTAGGTTTGTCTGAAGGTGCTGAAAAACATCGCAATTGAAGTGCAGATGCAAGCACAAATATATTTTGAGATTAAATCCCACTTCTTAGGATGTCTGGTAAGGTCATTATCATACAAGTATCCTTATTATAGCCCCAGCACACGTTTATTAATAATGGAGATCCAGATTAAAAAGCAGGAAAACCCAACAATATTTCAAACAAGGCACACATTTAACAGATAGTGTCTCTTGTCAGTATGGGCATGATGAATAGTTTTTCAGATTGTTTTGTTTTTAATCAAGGCAATAGTAAAATGTTCTCTCTTGTCAAGTGAATTACAGTAGTCTCAGAAGCAAATTTATCATTCAAAAAGTGGCACTACAGCCACGAAGACAACAGTTTGGAACCTATAAACACTGTAAACTCTTAATAATACCTTTTTTTTTTTCCTGCTGTAAATTGTAAAAATAGAAAAAAAATAAATAGTGCCCAAGTGGCATATTTTCCTTGAAACTTCATTGAAAATCCTATTCAAGGAGCCTTTCTGGAATGTGGGTGTTTAAAAGAAAGAAATTAACAAATGCAGACAAGGTGGTATGTAGTTAGTGAAAGAAGTTTTCATAATTTAAGTAAATAAAAAGGGCACCATACATTGCAACCCAGATTTCCCCTCCATCATAGCTGTGGCGAATTTTGTTTTAATGCAATTTTATTTTATCTCCATCATTCATGTTTAGGAGGGAAGATATTCTCCAGTGTTTTCTTTTTTTTTCATATAACTTTAACTGATTTTTGAATCATGAACTTAGTTTTCAAGGGTGCTGGTATTCAGTATTTTCTGCTTTGGGCAGTTGGAGGTTTTTTCTGAAGCTCTGTACATAAGCTAAGTGTAATGGTTAGCTGTCCAAACACTGTGCTTTACAACTGGTAGGGAGATTTCTCTAGTACACAGCAGTAATATTTGACTGAGTACACCTTTGCCCACACGTTCACTAAGGAGTACAGATTGACCATGTACTTCTTACAGGTCTTGCAATGGATGCCAACACAGGAAAAGCAGCACTCAATGTGGTTGAATTCTTCTTCATAAAAATATATAGAGAAAGCCAACTGCAGCAACGTAGCCTTGATTTCCAATGGCAAGGTTGTAACTTAAAGAGAAAAAAAATCTGAAAAGGTGTCAACCTTTTGCCTTTAAAAATGCACCTACAATCTTTCCTCAGTTACAGACGTGTAATTGCTAGTGAAACCAGGAGAACCTTTGAAAGAGAGTCCTTGACCTTGAGGTTTTACTGTTCTTTGCTTTTTGTTCAGACTGGCAGCAGTGGCCCTAGCGGTGCAGTGGGCAGGATCCACTGGTTTCTCAGCCTTCCAGGTCAGATTAAGACACCTTTCACTTATATGAAATGAGTGAGTATTCTCTGCGAAACTCGGAAGCAGAGAACTAAATCTATAGCTATTTTAAATCAAGCTAAGGCAAGTGTACTTAAAACAGGTAAGCTGGTATTTACTGAATAAGAATTAGAATTGTGCATTACACAAGTATATTTCCCATGTGTACCAAAGGTGTCAGAAACTCATGGTGTAACAGTAATGGATCAGTTCTACCCTCAGAAAATGTGGCCCCTGTGGATGGGATGAACTAGTTGGGTTTGTTTCTCTAATAATTCAGTGCAACTTCTACCAAATTAGAAATGACTGTGTAACCCTAAAAGTCGAAGGTGCCTTCCAGAAGTGGTTGAAGTCCTCAGTGCCATATAAAATTGATTTTCACTGCATTATCAACAGGAATTACATGCACATATTCCAGGGCAGAATGTGCGATTGTATTTGCATCAGTCAAGATGCAGCCATTAACTAGCTCTGTCTCGAGAGCTGTGTGACAGCAGTGATGAAACCCATGCATAAACAAGACTATGAAGAAGAAATTTTGTTGATTTGAAGCTGAGATAGAGAAGAAATAAAGCTCAAAAAAGACAAGGTCAAGAAACTGAAAAAATTTAAAAGATAGAATGTTGCAGATAATATCAAAGGGAATGTTCACTCTTGAGAAGGAAGATTGGACAGTGGTCTTCTGTCAGTTTGGTGTTAACCTAGACAGGTGTTATCATACAACAGTAGTCTGTATCAGTTCTGATACCTTTTATATCAGTCACTGTAAAAAGGGAGTGACTATATTGAGTAAATACTGAAGGAAATCCCAACTACATACCCAAGTTTTCATCTGAAGTTTCTGAATTTAAATGTGAGGAAAGAACAGGAGAAGTCACGTGGATAATAACTGTATATTGGGCGAGGGTACATCTCCCACAGATGCTCTGTGTGTGTGGTTCTGCTGTTCTGAATAAGGATGTGAGATATATCTGAAAAATCTATATTTGGACAAATATGAGGCCTTTCAAATTTCAGTTGTAAATTACTTTGTTCCTCTTCTAAAAAGTATGTAGCCAAGAGCAAAGGGGAATGTATGAAACAGACTTGCCGGTGGTTTTATATATTTGTCTTACAAGTTTCTTCAGTGTCAAAAATATCTTTCAAGAATGGCAATTCAGTGTACAGATCTGTTTTTAAACAAATTAGAAAGTCCAGATGTGGTCGGTTAAAAGATCTGCCAGTTTGACGTCATATGGAACTATTCTTAGGGTAAAATAGCGTGTGCTTAGCACACTATACTGCCAAGAAATGTCCGTATCACTGGAAATAACAGTACCTAACTTTAATGATTACTTCATTCTTTCAGATAAGTGTTAGTTATTGCTTAGATTTGACTTTGATGGCTGATAATAGAGCGATGCAGAGCTTTAGGGAAATGTTCTTGTTGTTGCGTATCTAATGGAGCACACCTCCAAGGTGTATTTAAAGAGGAATAACTGGCAAGCATGTTCAGCCTTTTTTCTTAAGGAAAATTAAACAAAACAGGTAATTATGTGAGATGAGGGCCCCACTGTGCTATATGCAGCACAGACATGTGTAGGAGCAGATAATGGGGAGGTCACCGATTCAAATAACTGACAGCCTAAGTAGAGAAGGCAAAGAACAGCAGACAAATAAGCCTGCAGCATAGACAGTGCCTGAGCTGACTTGCATGAGGTAGAGTGCTGGTCAAACTGGTGCCTGTGGACGTTGCTTTCTTCTCCACTGCTACCTTTAGTAATCCTAATTGCGTCCTGAACATGCACACAGTGCACTCACCTGTTTCTCTGAAGACACTTGGTATGTCTGGTGAAGAGAGATTGGCTTATGCACCCTGATATTGACTTTTCCACATGATTTTATGGTTTTTGTTGTCTGTTTCAGAGCAGGGTGGTACAGGTTACAGTTGGCCCTCTGCTGCCTCTCCATCAGTAGGAATCTGTGGATGAAAAGAAAACCAAGCAAAAACCACTTTTGTTTTTTTTTTTAATTTGTCAAAGTGAATTACAATTTTATCTTAATTAAGGTCTAGGGTTAACAAATGCCCAAAGTATGTCTACAAATAGCAACGCTGATAGAAAATACTGTGCTGGTTTTCAGTCATGAGAGAGATACATATATCATTTCTGTCACCTTTTCTCAGAAATTTCTTGGCTTTACATATCGAGGGCATCAACTCTCAGCTATTCCATAATTAATACATCTGTTCTAAATATTCACCTTAAACTAGCAGGGGTCCAAAGAAAATAAAGACTGCTTAGGACAAAAGGAAGGTGGAAGGTGTCTGATATGGTGTAGCTGTAGTAAAGTGAGAGCACATGTAACAAAATAAAGAGCAGTGGTTTTGTACCACTTACAATATTACAGCTTATATGTCCCCTAAAAGATCATATGAAGACATTATGATGTATTCATTGGCTATACAGTTACAGCAGTTTCTGTTTCTCTGAAATCCTTGCACCCAAATTGCATCTGACAAAAAGGTTTTCTTTCCCATTTTCAAA